AATAATCTTGAAAGTGGGATTGTAAGACTTGTTTTATTTTCATTAGTTGAGTAGTGAGTATGTTGTTAGATAAAAGGCGATCTAAATTAATACTATTGTTATGTTTTTTCAAAATATTTCAGAAGAATATTTTAGGATTTTGGTAAAAATTGTTGTTTTTTCTTCCAGTTTGTTTTGAATTTCTTTTAGAGTGTTTTCTTGTTTTTCCTTAAGACTTTTAGTTTTAAAAGTTTTGATTTCAGTTTTGAGAAGGGTTGAGAAAGTAGTAGGGTTGAAGTTGTTATTTGTTGATGTTAAATATAAAGGAGGTAGTAGAATGTTTTGTAAATATTTAGTAATATATGAGTTATAATTTTGTATAAAGTTAGGTTTGTTTAGACCTGTTTTGAGTAGAATTGCTTATTTAAGTTGTTTGTATAAAGGTGAGAGGTTGGGTAGTTGTTGTTCATTATGATATAGATTTAGTTTAATTCTTTTGAATAGAATATGTTTTTGAGCTGCTTTGGTTAGAGCTTTGTTAATTTGATTCCATGTATTATTGAATTTAGAGCTATTGGTAATATTGTTGATAGATGTGAGAAGTTGTTTAAGGTTTTGTTCAATATGGTTTTGGTAGTTTTCAAGTTGTTCTTTTTGAATAAGTTTCTATTAATAAATGGTTCTTGTTTGATGATATTGTGTATTAATTTTACATATATTAAGTGTAAGTTCTAGTGATATTATTGAGTAGTCAGTTAAAGTGAATAGGTTAGATAAGATATCAGCATAGTCTAAAAGTATAATATGAATATTAATTCATATTTGATTAATTCTACTATGACTGTTATTGTATATATAGGAGAATATAGGAGTTGATGGAAAAAAGAGTCTATAGATGTCATAAAATTGAAGAGATTTGAGAAGTTTCAAGAGAGAATATTCAGGTATGTTTGAGCTTTTTTGTGGTAATCTATCTAGTTTGGAGTTAGGAACTCCATTTAGGTCACCTATTAGGATTATTTTGTAGTTAGTTTTGTTAAGAATAGGAATAAGATATAAGAGGATTTTTTTTTGAAGTTGTCTTTTTTCTTGAGTTGAAAAGTATAGTTGAATTAGTTTAATATGAGATTTTTGAGAAAAATATTAATTTCTAAGAGAAAGTTTTTATAAGTTTGAATTTTTCCAATATGTTTTACAAGTAATTTGTAGATTAATAAATCCACACCACTTTGATGAGCATTGCTAGATGTCCAAAAGCATTTATAGTTTGTAAGTTTTTGTGAAGAAGTTGAAAATTTTGCTTTTTTGATAGATAGATGTGTTTCAGAAATTCTGAAAATATCTATTTGATTTTCTGAAATGTAATCAATTAGGCTTAATTGTTTAAAACTATCTAGAAGACCATTAACATTAAGTAAATGTATTTTAATTGATTTGGTTATATTGGAGTTATCTAAAAGTAAAATATTATTGTTTGTTTGTGTTGTAGTAATAGATATTTCTGAGATAAAAGAGTTAGTAGTTAAGAGAAAGTTTTGACATTCTGGAAGGGATGGTATTTTAAATTTTGTTAGCGAGAAGTTAGTTTTAAGTGAAATATTTTGATAACTTGAAAGATTTTCAAAAGGAATATGTGTGGAGTTGGATAGAGAGTTAGTTTCTTGTAGAAGATAGATATGAGCTTCATGTGTGTTATTGCTAGATTTACTTATAGAAATTTTTATATATTGTTCTAAAAAGTATTCTGGATGTTCATTTTGAATAAATTTTAGAAAGAAGTCTATTGATTGTGATGAAGTTAGAAGTTGTAAGTTATAGAATGCAAAGAATTTGTTAAAGCAAGTTAAAGGGTTGTATAATTGAAGTAGTTCAGAGATTTTGGTATAAGATTTTCCTTTGATAGTATTTGTTGTTGGTGAGTCGATGATATGATTAGGACTATCTGTTAATGATTTATCATCCTCATTTATAATGTTTAGATTTGGTGGTATGTTGTTGAAGATATTTGGTATATATGAGTTTTTGGAGTAGTTAGGTGTGTGTTTGTTAAAAAGGGGTTCTTAGAAGGATGTGATGAATTGTTTTCTGAGAAATTTGATTTTCCTTCTATAGATGTGCTTGCCATATACTCAGTTTTTACAGTTGTAAAGGATACTATAGTCTGTCCGGTATGTTAGGTTTGACTGTCATTAGCCTAGTCCTTCATGTAAATAGGCTTTCCTGCCTGTCTACTTATATTATTCTCTTCCAAAAATGCACTTTTTTAGTAAAGAACATTATTATTTTGGAAGTGGCAGCTGTATTTATGTTATCTATAGAAGGATTTATTGAAAAAGTGAACTATAGGAAGTAGTTGATAACATAAAGAGAGTATTATCCTGTATTGAAGGGATTTTAATATCATAGTATTTAATGATAAATTTTTCTGCTTCTAGAAGATATTTTAGATTATAGTCGAGTTGAATTTGGAAGATAGAGAATTTTGGTTAACTTTGAATATGAAAGTAGAGAATTATACATACTAGAATATGTGGATTAATAGTAGGTATAATAGTTTTTTCTAAAGCTTTGTTTAGTTTAAGATCTGAAATACTGTTATTTTTAGCTGCAGTATTTGGATAAGCTTTAAGATAAGAATAAAGGTAGAAAGCAGTTTGTTTGGGATTGGTTTCTGAATTGTTAATTTTAGCAAACTTTTGGTCAGCATTAATTGCAAGTTCATTAAGTGTATAAAGTGGTATAGTTTATTTGAAAATTGTTGAATTTGTTATTTTTTATTTATTTTATTTTAAAGTAAATTATATTATTGTAATATTGTAAATATAGATTCTAAAATTCTCTATTTATAGGATAAACAAAAGTTTCTTGTATAATGTTAGACAGGTTAGTACTCAAAAAAGATGTTGAATTTGGGCAAGTACTAAGGATAAGTATATTTTTATTAACTATACTGCAAGACTTGTCTTTCTTATATTATAAATATATTGCTTATATACTTTTTTTCTATATGCTAATTACACTAATTATGCTATATACATTAATTGTACTAATTATACTATATATATACTAATTTTTTATTTATACTTTATATGCTAAATATACTACATTTGCTATATCTACTAATTATGCTAATTATACTACATCTACTAATTATGCTAATTATACTACATTTACTAATTACACTTTATATATGTGCTATATCAAATAATTACTATATATTTTTATTTTATTATATGATCTAACTTAAATGAAATGTTGACAATCTTATTTTAGAATATAACATTTTTCTTCACTTTAATATATTTATTCCATGAATTTATACCAGGCTTTAAAAATCTTTAGTCTTTATTCTTGCTATTATAATTATATTGATACTCTTTGCATAATAGATTTAGATAGGTCCATAGTCTTTGAACAGCCAAAATGCTCTTGTTGTGGACATGAAATAGCATTTTGTAATTACCTTTTAGTAAAAGGTCTGCTGCTTGGGATCTGTTTTGGTCAACATTTCACTCAGATAAAAAGTGTAGATAAGACTTTTAGTGTGATTTTTGGATATAATGTTCTTGAGCATTTGCTAATAGGTCTTTATTATTTTGTTATCTAAGTCTTTACAGGTTTTGTAAACCAAGTTCATACAAACAGACAGTCAAATTCATACAAGCAGACAGTCAAATTCATACAAGCAGACAGTCAAATTTATACAAATAGACAGTTAAATTCGTACAAACTGATAGTCAAATTCATACAAAAATTGGCACTCAAATTCATACAAACTAACAATCAAATTCGTACAAACTGACAATCAAATTCATACAAACTAACAATTAAATTATTCATAGTATTGCTATATAGGAATTAAATGACAGACATATGTACTTTATTGTGATAGTTAACTTTATTTATGCTTATTTTTTTTTAACTCCACATGATTAATAAATATTCTTTACATTCAACTAAGTAGTAGTAAATATGTATTTATAAAGTACCTATTTGTGATTTATGAACTCATTTTTTTTTAATTCTAATAGCTAATAAATATTCTTTATTTTTGCAAGATAAATAAATAATTTGGGAGTATTAAGTAGTGATAAATATGTATTTATATAGTACTTATTCATAATTTATGAACTTGTTTTTTTTTAAAAAAAAATTCCAATGTGTTATGGATATTATTGGTTGCATGTAACTTCAAGGTTCCATAAGACAGTGTACGAGGATCTGTATAGAATCAGGTTCATGTAACTTATGTGTTGCATAAAATAAAATTGATCTTAGTAATAAAAGAGAAGCCTTGGTAGCGTTAGTGTTGATCCAAGTAATAATAAAGAAACACTTTGTACATAAACTGTGTGTTTGTATCTGTAGAAGTATCTGGCACAATACTCCAGTTATCACTATTAAGCAAAACAAGTGCATTCTGTAATTAAAGTCGAGTAAAACTCCCAGAGTTGACAATTGACTCGATACAATAACTAATAAATATTCTTTATATTTGTGAAGTGAATAAACTATTCACATAAATAGAATAATTTGGAGAGTACTGAATAGTGGTAAATATATTTATTTTCTTAATTTATAAACTGTTTTTTTTTTATTTAATAATAAACATTCTGAAATAATTAATGTGAATAGCATGACTATATAGATGTTTATTGAATCATTTAAAGATCCATATAATGAAGAACTTGGAGATTAACATAATAAGTAGGTTTTTATTATTTAATTGTTGTTCATGCTATTTGATATATAATTCATATTCCTTTTGATTTATTTTAATTGAGGCTTTAGGTACTAATAAATGTTCTTTATATTTATATTTTAAATAAATCCATTAATGTGAATAAACTGATTTAAAGGATATTAAGTAATAATAAATAATTATTTATATTCTTTATATTTACATGCTATTGATTAATAATATTTAAGTGATTGGCTTATCAATGAAGTGACAAAACCAACATTATTGCAAGATCGAAAATAATCATATGACACATGATTTGTAAGCATAATATGATATTATGCTTAATTATATAAAAGCTGGTATATATGGGAAATGACTTGCATTCAAGAGACTTTATCTTTGGTTTCGCTATTATCCTCCTTGTGATATTAGGCTGGCTTCATTCTACTTATCCTAATAGATATAGAGTTCTATGGCTCGTAGCAGTACAAGGATCTTAACTGCAGCCCAATTACTATGAATTAGAGTTTGCTTAGTATAAATGTGGCTCAGTAGCTAAAAGATGTACAATGACCACTTGATCAATGGGTTAAGCATTATATGCCAATAGGCATTGGTAGATGTAAGGCTCTATGGCTGTATAGCAGTACAAAGGCCTTAATAAATATATGATATAGAGTTGCTTAATATAATTGTACAATGATCACTGATCAATGATTTAATTTGTATAAGTATTTTATGCTGATAAGCATTAATAGATATAATGTTTCATGGCTATGTAGCAGTGCAAGAATCTTATTTGCAGCTTAATGCCTGTATATTTTAGATTCTGCTTAATATAATCATGGCTCAGTGACTGTAAGCAGTGCAATGACTACGAGATCAATCTCTTAAACATCATATGTTAATGGGTATTAGCAGATGTAAGGTTTTACTGTTGCATAACAATGCAAGGACCTTAATGAATATATGATGTAGAGCTGCTTAGTATGATTATGCAGTAATTACAGGTTAACATTTTAATTTGTGTAAGTATTTTATGTTGATAGATGTAAGCTTCACAGCTGTGTAGCAGTGCAAAAACCATATTTGCAGCTTAATGACTATGATTTAGTTCTGCTTAATATGATCATAGCTAAGTAATTAAAACCAGTGCAATGGCCACTTGATTAATAGTTAACTTGTGAAATCCTAGGAGGTTCTAATTCCTAGTGTAAGGATCTTATTTGCAGCTCACTGACTATATAATAGTCTATTTTGATTTGTTTTGTGACATCGTAGGGGAATGGAGTTTTTCTAAGCAAAATAACATGATATTTAGTTGGACCAAGTTTTTTATCCTGCCCACCCAATTTATTAGATATCTTTAGCCTTATTTAGTTTATGTAACCTGTTTAATATAATAGTTACAAGCAAGAATTGCTTGTACTTAAGCAGACGAACAAAAACAAGCATAACTGCAGAATTGTAATGATCCTTTTCGAAGTACTGTATGGTGGTAATTCCAATTCCCCATATGTTTTTCCTTTATAATAAGAATTCAATCGAACAATAAAGATGCATTATAGTGAAAATATAAAATTTTTAAATTTTTTTAAATTTTTTTTTAAATTTTATACATTGTAATACAAAGAGTAAAAGATTAGTTTACATTATGATATAATTCTTATAATTCATAATAATTTAATAAACTATTATATGATTATTTATTTATCTGCATAATTTAATAGACAAATTAATAGTAAAAATATTCTATATAAATAAAAAGGTTTTACATATTTGCTTTAATAATGTTTCAACAAAATAAAAAAAAAAAATATAAATATCAAAAAATTTCTTTAGAAACAAGAAAAAAATTATAGATCATATTAATAATAAAGGTTTACCAATTCGAAATATTGCAGCTAATCTTCAATTAGCAGCTTCAACTGTTCAAAGTATTGTCAATACTTTTGATAAAGAGGATCAAATTGTACCTAAACTATAAGGTGGTAATAAACAATCTATTTTAAATGAGCAACATAAAATGTTTTTAGAAGATGCAATTGAAGAGAAACTATGGATTTCCATTTCAGATTTAACACAAAAATTAGTAGATCAGTTTCCAGATATTCAGATATATATATAGTATATATAATTTTCAAAAATCAACTTTTTAAAAAAATTTGATATATATATATATATGCATATTATATATATGTAGATATCTGATAGAACTGTCGCATGATATATAACAAATCTAGGTTTTATTTTAAAAAGACTTACAGTTATACCAGAAGACTGTAATACTCCTAATACAATTCAAAAAAGAAAAGAATATATACAAAAAATTTATGATAAAAATATTAATATTTATAATGATATAGTCTATATTAATGAAACTGGCTTCAATTTGCATTTTTCAAAATCAAAAAGTTGTGCAAATCATGGTCAGCTGCTATTCATAAAGTTGTGAATAACAGAGGAAAAAATATTTCTGTTATTGCTGCAATTAATAAAAATGGTGTCTTGCATTATAAGTCTATTTTAGGTTCAGTAAATACAGAAATTTATGTACTTTTATTTATGAGCTTATTAATATTATCCCAAATAGTAAGTTTTTAGCAATGGATAATATTAGTTTTCATAGATCAGATGTAGTCAAAGAAACTGTTGCAAATACTACACATCAACTTTTATATCTACCAGCATATTCTTCATTTTTAAATCCAATTGAGAATTGTTTTTTAAAACTTAAAGATTCTGTTGCTAGAAATCATTTAAGAGGTCGAGAAACAATTTTAAGTAGAATGAATAATGAATTTAATATTGTTACAGAAGAAGATTGTATAGGGTGAATAAGACATACTTCTTCATATTTTGACCATTGTTTAAATGGTGAAATTATTAATGTATAATTAAATATAATAGAATTTTTTGAAAATAAAATTATGAAATACGAAAATTTCTAAATGCTATTTGATTATACAAGATTTTTAAAGGCTTTTTGTAACTGTATGTAGGGAACTTTAGGAAAGTATATCATTTTTCTTTATTGATTTTTTTTCCTAAGCAAGCTCTCTCTTTTTCTAATTTATATCCTTTTTTCATTTTATCTATTTTATCTATTTTATTGCATTACTTTCTATTACCTACAAATGATTCAATAATTAATACACTTACATGATTATTATGCCATTATACTATTAATATGCTATTATGCGATTACTAGCAATTTCTATGTGATTACACTATTGCTATTATTGCATTATCATAATGCAATTTTAGCTTTTTGATTACATATCACATGTTCAATGAACTTCTCTTGCATTATAATCATCATTGATTCTTGTGTTGCATGGCCATGCATCATCAGTTCATCTTATGCTACATTGATCCTTATATTATATGGCATATGCATTGTGCAGAGATAATTCATATTCTTACACTTTTTATCTATCTTATTTAGAAACCAAGGTTGAAAAATGGATTAATCTCTGGCCTGTTAATTCAAAATCAAATTATATTGAATTAGTACAATACATAATTAATTTATTGTTTAAATTATTTATTAAGGTAAGGACACTTTGTATTAGTAGATTTGTTGTTATCTTATTATTGAATTAATCTTAAGAACTTCGACTCCAAAATTTATCTAAGTACTAGAAAAATGGAGATATTTTGTGTGCTGAAGCCTTAGTTATTAAGTTTTACACTTTGGAATTAAATTTAAAATATATAATATAGTATTTAAATTTTATAAATTACTATATATTACTTGTAAGATTGAATCTATAATAAATTTATAATAAAACAATTTTGTTTTATTATTCTTGTTGTAAATACATATTTGTCATAATATTCATGATCTATTAAAAGAAAAAGAACCATTAAAAAAAAACAGCAAATATACAAACTCTTCAACTATAATATCGATTATAAATTTCTTATTTCAAGATTTATTGCAGTGTTAAAACTTATAAATTATAGCTGCCTAAGCAAGACATAAAAGAAATTATATATGAGAACAAGTTCTTTATTTTTTTTCACAAGTACAGTATATTAAATAGATTGAATTAGTTATGATTCATATAATTATTCATTTTAATCAGAATCACTATAGATAGTGAAGGTGCTATTTATTAGTAATTAATGTATGGTTATCTATCATATTTAATCAAGATTGCAATATTCAAACATTGAATCTAATTTTAGTTCAGGTTATTGTACCTTCAGAAAAAAAGTATCTTATTTACATGACTTTTTATGCCTTATTTCTACTAAAAATATATCTATTTAATTTAGATGATTAAGTGTATTATCTATTTAATCTTAAATATCAAAAAAAACAGTAAAATAAAGGATTTATTCTAAAATTAAGTATATTCTGTTTATTGATATAATCTGAACTTTGTAGTAGTATGACTGGCTACTTATGCAGCTAATTATACTTTACTACAAAGTTTTGCTTATACATATTCAACTGCTCAGGATATAACTATTACAATATATTCTACAAAAAGTCAGATATTATATCTTAACTCAAGATTCGGGTACCCAAACATTGAATCTAATTTAGGTTCGATTCTGATTATTGAACCTAAAATTTGGTTAGGATGAAGCAGGAGCTGAACATCCCTAAAATTCAGTAAAGTATTACAAACTATTCTTTTATTAAAAGTCAGTTATATATTCTATTAAAAGTCACTTACTATATTTTTAATTCAAGATTCAGGTATCCAAACGTTGAACCTAATTTAGGTTTGATTCTAGTCATTGAGCCTAAAATTTGAATCAAGTTGAAACAGAAGTGGGACATTCCGAAAATTCAGTAGAATATGACAAACTATTCTCTTACCAGCATGATTGTTTATATATAATAACTGAAGGAAGGCATTTTTTACAAATAGAGCAATAATTATGCTTAATTTTGCAACATCATGCAACTTTTTTAGATAATTATGATCATTATTGATAAGTTGGCAGGCAGGTGAATCTTCATTTTGAAATATAGGATAATTATATGTAAGAATATATAATTTTGTTTAGTTAATAATAATTATGACTTTATTTATGATTTGTGCTCTTCTTCTTAGCCATTTATGATAAGCTTGTCTCTTTTCTGATTCATTTTTTCTGTAAGTTATTTGCTGTTTCAGGAATTGTAATCAGTGCTGTAAGTACACATTATAAAAAGGCAGCAGGGTTAGAAAGATATTTTTTGCAGATGCTAAATAACTCTTCACTGTAATGGTGTAAGTAACTTATAAGATAATGAGTGATGAAATTTAATAGTTTTCACTTTTTTAAAAAAAAATTTCAAGCATTCAAATTTTTTTTTATATATTGAAAGTGGAAATGTGGATTTGAAATTTCTTAGTAAAATTAGTATTATATAAACCCTATACCCTAAAATTCCAAATCCACTTAACTCTGTTTCCATTTACAACTTATATAAAAATTACAATTAATATAGAGATTAAGAACTCTTCTCCGTAGATCATTTTACCAAAACTGGACAAAAAGCAAAAAACTTTCTAGCAAGAATACAGCAATA